TATATTACGTGTATAATAAGTTTAAATAGGCGAGTATGATTAGGAGATTAGAAAGGTATTTTGAAAGGAAGAAGTTGGTGGTGAATGTGGGGAAGACCAAGGTAATGAGATTCAGGAAAGGAGGAGGGAGATCGAAGGAAGTGGTTTGGAGGTGGAAGGGAAAAAAGATGGAGAAGTGAAGGAGTTTAAGTATTTGGGGTACCTGTTTAGGGCCAACGGGGGACAGGAGGGGCATATAAAGGAGTGAGTGAGAAAGGCAGGAGTCGTAATGAGGAGTGCCTGGGGGATAGGAAGAAGGAAGTTCGGGAGGAATAAATAGTGCAGGTAGTTGTGGCTTTTCGACACTCTAGTATGGACGGTGATGGGGTACGGAGCGGAAATATAGGGATGGAGAGAGAGGAAGCAGACAGAGGGGGTACACGAGAGGTTCATCAGATGGTCTCTGGGAGTCGAATGGAGAACATCGGGATATATGGTAAGGGAGGAGACGAAGAGGGAGAAAATGAGGACAAGGGCGTGGAAAAGAGCGTGGAGGTTCGAGGAGAAATTATGGAGAGAGGAAGGAGGAGAAGTGGCGCGATGGTGCTGGGAAGAGGTGACAAAGAGGGAGAGGAGAGAGAGGGAGGAGATGTCGAAATGGGACAAGGAAAGGAAAGGGCGAAGGAACAGCGGGGGAGTAAGGGGGAGGGAGGAGGAAGTGGAAAGCGGAGAGGAATTCGAGAGGATGGAAAGGGAGAACAGGGAAGAGCAAAAGAGAGAAAGGGCGGGAAGAATAAATGAATCAAGGTACAACAGGTGGTATAAGAAAGTGAGGACAGAAGGGATACCGAGATATCTGGAGGCGGGGTGGAGAAAGGAGAGATGGAGGAGGGAAGCGAGGTTTAGGTTAAGGAATGAAATGAATGAGAGAAGATATTGGGAGACGGGAGGAGGCAGAACGTGCAGGGTCTGCGGAGAGGAGGAGGAGACGTGGGGACACGTCTTAAAGAGATGTGAGGGAGGAGAGAGGATAGAGG